ATGTGTAAATGGGTGGTAGTAAGATTCAAAACTGAGACTTCTGCCTATGTTAGCACTGTGTTGAGTGCGTGACCACCTCTTCTTAAAATATTACAAACACATCACATACTGATTACCCTTTTATCAGCTTTATCATGTTAGATTTTTTGATGTCAATTGTCCAAGGGATAAGGAAGGCCTCTAGAGGGTACTTTTTCTGTTTTTTGTTCCTGGTACACAGTAATCTTTGTGTCCTTGATATTCCGATTATATGAATGATTTATCTATACATGATGTGTTTAGTAATAGACTAGTCCACAATATGCATAAGTACGTGTTATTCTTGGAGATTAAGCTTTATGTTTGATGTGATTTATGCTGAATGTACATTTTCTTTTGCTTAGACCTCATGGTGACCCACAAATGATGCGCCTTGGTGCACACTTAGTGCTTGTGCTCCGATACTTGCTCGAAGATCAAATGAAGGATGAGTTTAGAGAGAAATTACTGACAGTTGGTGACCTCATTCTTCACATGTAAGTATTACGCAGCATCTTCTTTTTGTTGGTGGTATTGATAAATGTAGAAGGCATCTGGGGAGTCAATTCATGCTCCTTTCATATATCTCATATTTTTCTTCAAAATGAGAGTTTGGAGAACATAACCATAATTCCACTGCTTATAGCATCTAATGTAATGTTGGTAGAAAAATCAGCACACATTTGCAATGCATCTTATCTTATTTGATTTGAGGTACCCACGAAAATTAAGGAGAAAACTAAAAGCTTGAAAATGCATGACTAACGCCTATCAACCTTTATCTATCTATGTTATGTACTGCTTTGTCTACGATATCTACGCTATGAACTGATTGTGCGGTGTCCTTTAGAATTATTTAGCTGTAGTTTCTTTCAATAAGTAATTGCCTAATTGCAAAGTATAAAGCGATTAAATTCGTATGCAACGAAACTGGACACGTTCTTACATTTTCAATCAAGTTAGACTACATAGATCATACACAATGAGTTCACGACAAATATACATATCTTTTGTCCCCCCTCCCC